AGGGGGGGGGGGTAATAATGTAGAAATGGGTTCAGTTCGCTCATGATTGATTGCAATGACTGTAAATTACGTACACCCTTATCGTTCCAATCCATATCATTAACAAGGCGGACTGTTTTGAACAACTTGTCAACGCCATTGTGGGCGGAGTGAAATACGGCATCCCAGCTTAGTATTTGTTTGATTAAAGACAAGCACATCGACACAATATTGGTCATAATTTAATGCTGGATAAAAGAAAGTTTTGGTTTTGGTAAGAGTTTTGCGGCACTTGCAACACAATAAGGTCATATCAGTGCCGAAGATTAGAGGCGTTACAAGAGTAACGAACACAAAAAAGAAGGAGGGGAGATAGGGACGATAGATTTGTTTATAGGACAGAAGGAGCAAACCACACCAGAGCACCTGCCAACCACCCACGCTTATTTGTTTGTTTGAATAAAGACAAGCACGTCGACACTATGATGGTCATAATTTAATGCTGAAAACGAAATATATCAGAATCCATTACTGGTTGCGTTTTGTTTTGTTTTGTTTTTTTGTTTTTTTAACTGGGTTTCTTGTGGAGTTTTTTTAGTTGTTTTTTTTGGGGGGTTAAGAAGAGGACTGGAATTGTAACCAGTTGATGTGCCTCATCAAACTTTATAACATACTTGTTTGTTTTTTTCAAAATGTTTGACAAACTACAGCGCCGAATAATTGCAACGACATCGGGACCTTTATTTAGCGACCTCGGGAACCACTGACATGACGCTAGTGTCCTTGGGGGAGAGGGGGAGAGAGGGAGAGATGGGGCAAAAGAGAGAGGCGGAGAGGGAGAAAAGGGGAGAGTGAGAAGAGAGGGAGAGAGAGGATGGAGAAGGAAAGAAAGAGGGGATGGCGGGAAGAGAGGTGGGGGAGAAAGTGAGGTCGAGAAAAGAGGGGTAGAGAGAGGGAAAGCGAGGGGGAAAACAAGGAGAGACCGACAGACAGACAGACAGACAGACAGACAGACAGACAGAC